ATGGGAGAAAATGTAACATCTCAATTAATGTAAAAGATAAACGTTATCTTATCTTAAAAGATAAACATTATCAAAATCATAATTACTGCATTTATGATTTCGTAATTAAATAAATAAAAAGAAAAAAAAATTTGCTATAAGAAGGGTAGGGGGGAAGGATGCGTAGGGAGAAAGAGAAAGGGAAGAGAGAGAGGAAGAGAGAGAGAAAGAAGAAAAGAGAGAAAGAAGAGAGAGAAAGAAGAAAAGAAAGAAGAAGAGAGAGAGGAAGAGAGAGAAAGAAGGAGAGAGAGAAAGGAAGAGAGAGGGAAGAAGAGAAAGAAGAAAAAAAAAATTTGTCTCTACAAAAATTTTGGTACCTCATCCGCAGCTCTTAAGGTAGGGGAGGAGAATATTATCATTAAATCTACTTTATTTTGCTTATAGTTGTGGAGTGAGGTGTCCCTAACCTCATTCTATTTATTTAGTTATTTGTTTATTTACCTCTAACTACGTAATGGTCCTATTTTAATTATCTCCAGTTATGCACTGGTCCTATTTTAATTATCTCCAGTTATGCACTGGTCCTATTTTAATTATCTCCAGTTATGCACTGGTCCTATTTTAATTATCTCCAGTTATGCACTGGTCCTATTTTATTTTATCTCCAGTTATGCACTGGTCCTATTTTAATTATCTCCAGTTATGCACTGGTCCTATTTTATTTTATCTCCAGTTATGCACTGGTCCTATTTTAATTATCTCCAGTTACGTACTGGTCTTGTTTGTTTACTTTATTTTATCTCTAGTAATGCAATGATCCTATTTATTAGTCTATAGTTATATTAATCAATTACAATAATATCTATTTGTGAAGATTTGATGATATTGTAGATGGAGGTTGGACCTTGGGGATTTAAATGAGTAAATATCACTGTGAGCATGATTAAAATTGAGCTCATTTATCCTGACTAGTCACTACAATTTAAATCTTCATAAAATAGAATGTGTTGAGAAAGTTGAAACATATATATCTATATATTATAAGATTGTATTATTGTAATTGATAAATGTTCTCACTCCCTATTGTGATCTTTTGTGCATGTTTTATTTAAACACCAACTTAAGTAGATGGAGGCGCCAAATATTCCAAATCCCTTTTCTGCAAGCATCACTGCCTTCTTTCCAGGAACTACTTGGAACACGAATGTTATAGACAACTCGGTTACTTTTAGAGGGATAGGATTTTCAATAATAACATTTGTATCTGATATGGGGAATCCCATTATGTTAGATGGGCCAATAGTAGTTACTTTTTTATGCCTCCTATTTTTTTCAAAACCCCTTAATCGAGTTTGTTTCCACCGCCAATGTAGATACTTGTAAAATTGTAAAAAAGAAAATAGAAGGAATCAAAGATAAAATTCCTTCTTCTTTTGTATATCTTATATAGTAATGTAAATTACTTTTACATATATGTAATATTTTTTGACCTCCTACTCTTATACAAATAATAATAATAATGATTAATAATAATAAAAAAAAAAAACGTCACAAATAATACTAGTAACTACTATCTATTTCATTGTAAATAATAGTCTATTTTCCATAAAATGTTTAATTAGGTTAACTATAGTGTAATATGATGTGATGAAATATAAATATACAATAATATTATATGTGTGATAACTTGAGTAATTAGTTATTATTTGAATAATTGATTATTCTTATTTTCTTATTTATATAAATTGCTTCCTTTAAAAGCATTGATTACATGTGAACAAATAATATTATATTAATAAAGGCTATATTTAAACAATAAAATTAGCCTAAAATTGTAGTTCCAATAGGAATTTTGTGTATATATTTATCAATATTTTGTTACGTGATATCATATAAATAGAGATTAATTTTATATTAAATATTTATTAAATATGATAATTTCTTTTTTATATAGAGTGAATGCAAATTACCAGTATGGGAAACATTTATAGCATCTTTGTATAATAAAAGTTATGTTTTGGTTTATGGAGGTGTAAGGAAATAAAAAGACAGTTGATGACTAAAATCTAATGAAATGGAAGGATATTATATTGAGTAGATGAAACACATCCTCTAAATCCAAAATACTTAGTTCATTTCTAATCAAAAATATGTTTGTACGCAAGTTTGAAGGTATGTAAAGTTACATTTTATAATTTCTCTTAAAATATCCTTAACTTAATTTTATATACCAATAGTGACAAATTAAATGTCAAAAAACTTATAGTGTATGAGGTTTTTTTTTTTTTTTAGTGGGTATAGTCGTTATGTCATCACCACTGGATAAAAGCCCAAATCGTAAAAATAAATCTACAAACCAAGGATGACACAGTTTTAGTCTCTTCAAAGTCAAAATTTATAACAGGAATTTCTTAAATACTTGGCTTCTACATAGGATGATGTCTTCACTCTTCTAATACTACCACTAGAGGCGGAATCCTCGTCCCAAAAATTTTGATTATATATATATATATATATATATATATATATATAAAATTTAAAGATTAAATATATATTTTAAATATACATAAATTATATATATAAATATTATTTTTATTTTCTTCCATGATTTTTTATTTATATTTTTTCTCTTTTATTTTTATTTTTTACTTTTTCACACATTTGAACTTCAAACATTTTTTATTTTACTTTCATATTTCTAGCTTTTTCTTTATCAATCATTTCTTAGGTACTTTTTTATATCATAGTTTTACCTCAACATAAAAATTATAAGCTTTTTTTTTCTTTAATTTTCACTTTTTTTTGAAATAAACAACTTTTTATTATTATTTTTGTTCACTATTAGAGCATTTTATGATGTTTAATTTTAATGTAAAAATGTGAAGAAAAAAAATAGATTGAGTTTTAGAGATATTTAAGAAAAAAATTATATATTTATTTTTCAAGAAAAAAGAAGGATATAAAATAAAATAAACTTTAACTTACTAAATTTAAATTTATGAAGAAATACTAAAAATATTATTGAAAAAAATAAAATATAAATTATATAATAATCAATGAATTCTATAATATAAAATATCTTCAAATTTAATCAAAACCTATTTAATGTTAATATTCATTTTAAATAAAGGTTGATAATTTATAATATAATTATAATGTATATATATTATTCATTCCATCCTTGAAAATTTCTTACTGGGGACTATTATATGGCATAATGTTGTTTGTTGTGGTCAAGATTAAACAAACCTGCAATCACTTTTTTTTCAGGCCACGGATCAGAAAACTGTTCATAGAATAAATATTCAATAAAGCCCATCCAAAGAAAAAAATGTATTTCATACTATATTCCTGTACTCTATATTTATTTAGAACGATAATACTATCTTAATGTAAATATATCCTGAAAAAGCACATTTTTGAAAATAAGTTTCAGATTATTTTTTTAACACATCTTTTATTATATTTTTTTGAAAATATATTCTGAGAAATTGATTCTATAATATTTTAAAAATATATTTTCATAAAACACAAAACTAAAATAAGTTTCAGATTAATTTATCTAAAATTCATCCTCAGATTGTATTTTCAAAAAATTATTTGGATTCAATAATTTAGAATACTACAAATACAAATAAAACATTTTTTTATGAGATTTTTTAATGCATAACATATTATACTATTCAAAATATAAATTATTAACAAATTTTTAATCTTAAAATAAAAATGATAATTCAATGAAGGCGTAGGACATACAAAAAGGGAGACAGTGGTTATGGTAAGAAGGTGTGGAACGGAAACAGAAATTATTATAGTAAAAAAGAAGCAGAAAAATATATTTGGAAGTGTGAGAAGAATAAAACGAACTCAACCTTTGTATTTCAAATGGAAATAGGGATGTACCGGTAGTGTTGTGTGTGTGTGTGTGTTTTTTTCTCTCTTTCTTTCAATCTCACTTCTTACACAGTCAAATTCTTTATCTCTAACTCGAAACATAAAATTATAAGATTTTAAATTTAACTAAGGAAACTTTAAAAATAAAATTATTTAAAGATGCATTCTTCTATAAAAGAAAATTGATTTTTTATATGAAAAGGAATCACATAAAATATAACGAAGAACAATTTCGATTCATTATGTGGATGAACTTTTATCAGTAATTTATAGGTATATATACAAAGGAGGAATTAATTTACTTAATATTATTTTTAATCTAATGAGTAACTTATTTTAATTGTTATTTTCTATTTTTATCTTTTATTTTTTAATATAAAAAATATTAATTACATATTAAAATTATTAGATTTAAGAAATAAAGAGTAAGGATGGATTAACAAAAATATCTTTTATCACGTCCTCCATGACTACAAATTAGTTCTTAATTATTAGTTTTTAAGATTATGTTCATGAAAAAAACATATGACTCTCCCCTCCCCCCCCCCCCTCCCCTCTCTCTCTATTATATATATATATATATATATATATATATATATATATATATATATATATAGTTAGTATATAATTAATATAACATAATATAGCTATTTTTACTGAGCATATCCTTAATTTCAAACCAGTAGGTAAAAGTAACAGAAAAATACAAGTACAAGGAACTGGTAAACAAATATAATAGCCAGTTATAGTGTTGGAAAATTAAATTTTGGAAAAATTAAATTCTGGACATTACGCTATGCTTGTTTTAACATTATATATTAACTTACCTAATTTATATACCAAGATAAGAAATTAGGTGAAGCCCATTTTAGGAAGAAAATGGTATAAAGTATTACGTTATTATATAGACTAGTTGTGCATGGTTAAAAAAAGAGGAACACTGAGTGTTCGACATTATATTTAAGAGTGTGAATGTGAATTCTTGAAAATGTTTCATCTATATTATTATTTGGCAAGGAGTTATAAAAAAAGTTCAAAAGTGAAAATATTCATTCTTTTTTAGTTGGAATAATAACTAAGCGCAGGCCGTTGATCAAATTTTCTTACAAATCAACGGTTTCCAACCTATGAAGTATAATGTCCCCCATAATATTTTAGGTGCATGTTAAAATATTCTTAGAGAAAAACAAAGGTCACCAACCACGGAATAAGCACACAGATACGACATCAGACAGTCAAGACATAAACAGAGAAAAGAAAATAACAAAAGCAAAGCAGGAAAAGAACAACATAGATAGAGATGTGATGTAAGCTATATTTCTTTCATGAAAATATGTTGGTATTAAAAAAATTAAAAAAAAAAGTAAAATTATTTTAACTAGGAATCGATTTTAAATTCATAATTAACTTTTATCTAAAATCAAGTTAACTACTGAACATGCATTAAAGCATTTGATCAAATGCCTTATTAAGCCGTGAAATAGTTTAGTCACTTACTTTTGTCTGGGATTTGTGATATAGATATAGACCATTCCAGAAGTCTAAAAGGGTTAAAGGGCCTATGCAAGAGGTGGTGGTGGGTCCTGATTGTCTGATACTGTCCCCTGCGTAAGTCATGCCACAAAGTGTATTCACCCACTCATCTATCATAAGCTATGGATCGTGCCTTTAAGCTTTTGATGGTCCATTTCTTTGGTTGCACTTAAAGCTGCAATATGTGCATGCTATTTTTTGCTCTCACTTTAGACCGCACAATCACTCCACCCCCGACATGCGCACTTCACCATCCCTCACTCCCCCTCCTGCTCTTCATGTTCACCCTACAGTGATTTCACTGACACAGCAAATGAGTCATGGAATTAGGAACAAACATAATTGCCACATGGCTCTTTAGCCTGGGAAGCATCTACTCTGCATAACAATCAATCATAAAACAAAACCATGCCTCCATCCCTCAAGAATATGCTTATCAAATGCCATCCCACAATGGCTCCATTGGGCAAACATTTATTAACTTTCGTGACACATATTCCACTGTCACCTAAATGCAGCTTCAGCCTTCACGTCTTTTCAGATTTCAAGAATTAAAAACTAAAACATCACCAAAACGAACACAACAATAATAGCAATAATTCAAAGCAGGTAGGCACGATAAATAGTAAAAGCCATACTACTAATGAGCCATGCCCAGCAAATGATCCAAACCTCTACAGAAAGACACAAGCTGAATTATAAATAGAATTCCAAAAGATGACAAAAAGAAACGCAACGTGGCTTCACAATATTAAATTATCCATCTGTTTAAAATTTTGATATGGGGTAAGGGTAGTAGTAACTGAAAAAACCAAAGTAGAGATTCTTCCTCAATTGGCAGTGGTCCACGTCATATCGTTCTCGAATATCCAGTGGCACACCTCAATTTTCCCAGGGCCAGACCCCAATGCCAAGAATGCCCCATGTTCTGGGCCCCACGATGACGTGTCAAGGTGACAGATGGCAACACCATGATTCATGTTCTCCTTGGTGTCCACGTTAAGAATATCAGCTTCATACACTCTCACTTGGGGTACACTGTGGCAATAATACAGTAAGTAAGGGTACAAACTCTGATGACACGAAACTGACTCGGTTACTTTTCCACCGTCCACTGGGTAGACCTTACCAATCATCACACTGGATCCTGAACCGTTCACATTCTCCGTGGTCCTCACCACAACACTGGGGCCCAGCACCGATGCAGCAAACTCTATCATTTCTTCTGCAGACGCAACGCACCGTTTCGTCTCGCCCCGGCTCGGTGCCCTCTCGCACTCCCCCAACGCGTTCACCATCACGCGCTCTGTCGAAGACCCCTTATGCGCGTCGAACAATTCCCTGATTTCCTCAATCCTCGACGACGAGAACGGTAATTTCGAAGCAATCGCCAGGGGTAAAAACGACCTTGCAGGCATTTTATCCTTAATGTCAGGCATCACTATCACTTCCCCTTCCTTCATCATCGATTCTCTGAAAAACTTACCCTGCTCTACCAACTTATTTACAACTCTACCACTATATGCGCTGAAATTGCGATACTCCGAAAACGACGCGCCGTCTTTGTTATACACTTTAAACGCGCGACCCAACCCGTAAGATTTAAACCCGAACGAGCTCTTCCCCGACGCGCCCTTTCCGTACTCAGCGAAACTGTCGTTTCCGACGTTAAACGACATCCCGTAGTTCGCGAACGTTGCCGTGCCGGACTTTGACCTCGCGGCGTAGCTTTGGAATGAGTCGTCGCCGACATTGGCGCGGTTCCGGTAACTGATGAAATTATCGGCAGCGGATCCTCCGGATCCGGCGCCGTATGTTTTAAAAACGTTCCGAGGATTGTTACCGTTGACGCTGTAGAACTTGAACGAGTCGTTGGTTGCTCCGGTGCTGAAGTCGCCGTAATTGTTGAACTCCGATTGTAGAATGTTCGCGTCACCGGCGTAATTCGCGAACTCGCTGGTTCCACCGCGAACGCGTTTTCCGTAGCTCGTGAAGGATTGCGCGCCGGAGTTTGTTTCGTTGCCGTAGTTGGAGAACGACAGTTTGTGGTTGGAGGCGCCGGAGTCGTAGGTGGTGAAACCGAGGTTTGGAACGTTCACCGTTTTGTCGTAGTTGTTGAAGTCGGTGGAGGATTGAGCTGCTGCGGAACCGTAGCTGGTGAAGTTCGTGTTCGCGACATTGCCGTTATCGGCGTAGTTCCTGAACTGTTCGCCGCGGCGCGTCGAGGAGGCGCTGTATCGTCGAAACGCGTCGTTGTTGGCGTTTAGGCCATTGGAGTAGTTCTTGAACGAGTCGACTCCGTCGACTCGAGAGGAGCCGTAGTTGGCGAAGCGTTTGTTGTTGTAAACGGCGAAGTTGGCGTCGTCGTTTTGGCGTTGGACTGTATGCGTGTTTGGCGTGTCGTCAAAGGAACAGTACAAGTTGGGTGAGGAACAGAGAGAGTGGTGAATCTTCGGAGTGTAGCGTTTGGGTTTTTCATTTAAAAGTTTGTTGAGAATAGCATAGTGTTGCGGTGTAAGAGGTGAAGCTTTGGCTAGAAGAAAGTGAGGGATTGGAACCTCATTCGTGACTCGAGTGTTCCAATAGCGAATGAGTGAGGCTTTGGGGCTGAAAGGGTTTATGTGTTCCTGTGTTTGAGGCAGAGGTGTGTCCTTACTTGCTAGAGAAACCTGCATTTGTGGAACAAAAGTTACAGAACCTTAAATTAAGACACCAGGGAACTGAAAGAAACGAACCAAAGCAATGCAATGTGGTAAGATTGTTATCATTATTATTGTTGTTATGCAATTTATAAAGGTAAAATTGTGTGTGGTGTGTTGGTTCATACATGGAAAGATGAGAGCGACAAGAAGAAGCAGCAGAAGAAGTTAATGTTCATGTTGAAGTTGTGAGAGCGTGTTGCGTGGGCAATGGAGAGAAACTACGAGACAGTGATATAGAAGAAGAAAAATAAAGGGGCCATGGATCGCTTGGGGCCGGGGGACACTAAATTTGTGGTCTCCCCAGACATAGTTTGCTTTTCTCTGCGCGAACATGGGATCAATGACTAGGTACGATACTTTATTTTCTTTTTCTCTTTTTTCTTCTTTATCTTATGCAGCGTCTGAATATATCCATCGGTATGTTTATATATTCCTGTATTTATATTAAAAACGTTTTTATTTGTTTGTCTTTTCTGCTATTGCACCTTAGATAGTTAAATATGGTTAGGTTGATCGTGCGTGCCCTCGTTTGAAATGCAGGTGATGAAGGTGTTATGTAGCACTAGATAGTTTCGAGATAGTTGGTGGACCGCAAATGGTTCTTGTAACACAGTGAACCACGTTGAGTTTACAGTATAATAATAGTCAAGTGGATGATGAGAATAGAATCAGAGTTTTGTTTTGAACATTATTATTCAATGGATTAGGTATGTTAAATAATAGATAAATTAGGTAAGTCCAATTGTGAAACTCTGAACTTGGGTTCTGTAGATGCTTCCTTTTTTACTTTAGCTATCCACTAACGGAGTAGTGGGCCTTCCTTAACTCAATTCATCTAACTACATTTTATCATTATTAATTTGATGGATTCATTATTTTATTAAAAACCGTGAATTGTGGACAAGTACCGTTTATCCTAAAATTGTGCTCACCATAGAGAGAATTAGTTAGGGCATCTATGTCTTACTAAGGATTAATTTATCTTTAAAATGTTAAGGATGAAGTTAGAGAAAATATATATTTTTTAAATCTTGTGAAAATAGATATTTATTACTATAGGAAAAAATATGATGAGATAGCGCATGCTGAGTGTTTTCTTCAGGTTCAAGCTAGGTGCTGCACGGTTTTCAAAGGTCAAAGTTGGTCTTGGTCTTGGTTGGATAATTTGAATGTCTGGTTCTGCTGTGTGACGTTCTAGTCAACTAAGTAGTGGATCATCACATGTAAGGAATTTAATTTTTAAGCGAGTCATGATAAAAGATATAAGATAAAATATATATTAATGTGTGACTCCTTTTATAGACTTTACTACTGTTGCAAACTAACTATATTAGCTTTTAGATTATATAAAATTTAGGATTAGTTTTTTCGTATCTCAGTACTTCTTGGCCTACTAATTGGGTATTGTGTTTCCGTCCTGAATTAATTAAGCCTAGCTAGAGTTGAGAATTGGTGGGTCAACTCTAAAATATTTATGATTTTGAGAAAATATATTCTTTCTCAAAATCTTGTAAAAAATTGAATAAAAATAAATAATTATATCTACAAAATAAATTATATGAAATATAATGCTTAATTAAATTTGTTTCTTCATATTACATAGACGTTTTGATTTTGGTCCCTATTTTCGGTTTTTTTTTCTATCTTTCTTAATTTTTCTTAGAATCTTCCGTTAACTTTTGTTTTTCCATTAAACCTAATAATGGAGATTTATGTTTTCATTAAAACTAAAATTATATATATATATATATATATATATATATATATATATAAGAGAGAGAGAGAGTAAAAAATATTTTATCTGTGGTGAACTAAATAAAAAATAATTTGTATTTTAAGGATTAAAATTAGAAATAGAATGTTTATAGGTATTGAAAAAAAAATATTTATAAAGATTATAAACAAAAAAATTAAGGAGGAAACAAAAAATTGTATATTTACCAAATATATTTGTGATTATCAATTTTTATCAATATTAATTTTTTAGTGATTGGGTATATGAGTTTCAAAAGCTTGTAAAACAAAGAGTTAAAAAAAAAAAAAAAACTATAGTTTAAATTCAACTGTGACAACTTTTTTCCCTACCTCTTATTCATGCAAATAGCATATATAAGAAAAAAAAAGGTTGAATTGTGTTGTAAAATTTGTACACTTGAAAAAAAAATCCTTTTTTTTTTAAAAAAAAAAGACAAATTTATATAAAAAAATTTCAAACAAAATAAGATATCAAAACCAAACTCATATTTTTAGATTGGTTTGCCTTAACCTCTTAACACCTGTAACACTCTCCCAACTAAGATGAGAGAAAGACATAATGATAATATTGTTTAAATAAGATAAATGATAAAGATTTTATAGACAAACCTTCAAGATCTAGTTGTTGCAAGATGTTAGAAACTTTTCTTCATAACTTCATTTAAAATTTGTTAAAGACCGAGAGGTCATCATCATGTATTAAATATCATTTAATGTATTTTACCAAATAGTTTCTATATTAGGATTAAAGCCTATATAGATAAAACTTTTAGGATATTTCTAATCTGCACAATAAAGTTGATGTATAAAGTAAGGAAATTTTGATGTCTTTCATTGTATCTCTTCAAGCACACCTTTTATCAATCCTTTGTTCAATATTTTAGTAAATGGATCATTCCAAACT